CTTCTTAGTAGTGGGTGATGTTGGGCACATACCTATGCTTAGCCTCAGTTTGCCCGCGTGTAAAGAGTATACCCTCTAGGATCTTGGGGAGTGTAATAAACACTCATAATGTGTGTAATGTTGTTGAGAGGGTGTCTCAGCCTTCAGACCCAGCCCACAGTTTGTGGGGCAAGAACAAATAAGGGATTTTGATTCCCCCCACCCCAAATACTGGGGTTTGATCCTCGAGCCTCTGCATTCTGGGCAAACATTCTACTCACGAGTTTTTCTCTTCATCCCGGGAATCAGAAACTTGTTTAGCTTCTGGGAAAACGGGACTTGGTTGGTTTTGTGCAAAGGCTCCGTTAATTCAGTCTTTGACTCTGATTTCAGGCACTAACAATGGACACCCAGAAAGACGTCCAACCCCCAAAGCAGCAGCCGATGATATATATTTGTGGAGGTAAGATTAACCTTTAAATAAGACGTTTTACTTAAACTTTCCTTACCTGAGTACTGATATTTAAATTATAAAGTGGAGCTAGCTCTTTAGCTGGGCAGTGGCACACGCCTTTAATCCCAGCACTTGGAGGCAGAGGCAGGCGGATCTCTGTGAGCTCATCTGTAGCACTTTTGCAATCGTTAATGTAAAAATCCCTCGTTAAGATTTTGTCTTTTCCCATGATGGGGAAACACACAGAAACAAATGACCCAAGCTAGTGGGAGCTCATGAACTCTGAACTGACCTGACATCTGAGGAACCTGCAGGACCGAACTAGGCCCTCTTAATGTGGGTGACAGTAATGGAGCTTGGGCAGTTTGTGGGGCGCTGGCCATGAAACCAGTGTTTATTCCTACTGCGTGATCTGGCTTTTTGGAGCCCATTCTTTATGGAGGAATACCTTGCTTAGCCTAGATATAGGGAGGAGGGCCTTGGTCCTGCTCAAGTGATGTGACAGACTTTGTTGACTCCCCATGGGAGGTCTCGCCCTTCTGGAGGAATGGCTGGTGAGTGGGGCGGAGAAGATGAGGGAGAGGTAACTGGGATTCATATGTAAAATAAAAAGGGGGGGTGCTGGAGAGTTGGCTCAGAGGTTAAGAGTACTGACTACTCTTCCGGAGGTCCTGGGTTCAATTCCCAGCAACCACATTATGGCTCACAACCTTTTGTAATGAGATCTTGTGCCCCAGAACACTGTCTACATAATAAATAAATAAATTTTTTTTAAAAAAAATATTGTTTAAAAAATTACATTAAATTAAAAAAAATTATTTTTTCATCAGGAAAGGGCACACCGCTGACAGCTCCTTTCTCTCCTCCTTGGTCTGTTAAGTCACAGACATGCTTCAGCACTTTGACTTCTGCTGACCTCCGTGGTTATTTTTGCTTCTCTGTAGTGTTTCTCTTTCAGGCATTGAATAAATGTGTTTTATTTCCTAGAGTGTCACACCGAAAATGAAATAAAGTCCAGAGATCCAATCAGATGCAGAGAATGTGGATACAGAATAATGTACAAGAAAAGGACTAAAAGATGTATCCTTTTGACTGCGCTTGCCAGATGTACTGTTTGGGTTGGTACAGACTAAGTTCTCACAGAAGTGGTAATAACTTGGGTTATTTTTTTTAAGAGCGTGGGTTTATAAAGGATGAGTGAGAACTGAGAACATGGGGGACTCCAAAGGAGGTATATCAATTGATTATTTTAATAGGGTTTATTTTTCCCCAAACTTAGGGGGCAGAGACAGGCAGAACTTTGTGAGTTCCAGGTCAGCTAGAGCTACTTGGTGAGACCCAGTCTCAAATAACCCAATAAGGTTTAAAGAGATGGGTCAGCAGGTAAGGGCATGGGCTGCTCTTCTAAAAGATATGGTTTTGTTTCCAGCACCAACAAGATTGCTGTGACTATCTGTAACTCCAGTTCCAGGGGTCTGTCCCTTTCTCTGACCTGCACCTGTACAAGTGACCCAAATAGCACACACATAGGCATGCATGCAAAAGCGCTCATATGCATAAAGTAAGCGTAAATAAATATGTTTTTAAAAACCCAGTGAATAACTGTAGATTTTTTTTATTTTTTAAAGTAAACATGATTAACATTTTTATGTGCCATTCATTATGGGCTCTAAGTAATTCAAAAGCTTGAATATATAAATATATTTATTTTTCAGGAATTGTTTGTTTTTAGAAGTAGTCATTCTTGATTGTCAGTTTATGGGCGATCTGAAGTCTGGAAGAAGTTGATAACCTAGTGGAAGACGGGGAAGCCTACAAATTAGTCCGATATTGAAAGCAAATTTCTTCATTGTAGTTGACACAGACCCTTAAAAGTCACCTCGAGGCTGTCAGTGTTTTTATATTACTATCTTTGGTGTCATGGAACACAGACTAATGGAAGTGGAAGTGCTGGGCTTTGTTTTTAGGTAGTCTCTGATGGCTGTAGTGAAGTTCATTCTTTTGTTCATTTTATACTAAATAGCAAGCTTAGTGCAGTGGTGGTGACTTGGAAGCCGTAGTATTGCATAATTTTAAGAACTGTTTAAAATCCTTAATTCTGTTCAACAGTGGTGGTTTTTGATGCTCGGTGAAAACGTGGAATTCAGGAGTGTCTTCGTTCAAACATTTGCCACACTGATGCTACTCTGTATAGCTTTACAACTACAACTGTGTACCTATGGTTTCACTTTAGAAATGTGATTATATTTTAATACTTTGTATAAAGGAAATTTTGGTTTAGCATATGACTTTTAATTTATTGTGCTTGTAATCTCTCACACAATGAAGATTAAAGTTGTTTCCCCGAGCCTCACTTTCATTCAGTCTTGTTAAAAAGTCAAGTTTCCGGCCATCGAGCTGCTGCTTGCCACCTTCCCAGGGGACTTGAGTTCAGGCCCCGGAACCCACATGGTGGGAAGAAAACTAACTTCTGAAACTTGTCAGCCTTCCGACCTCCACATGCACACCGGGACTTGAGCATGTGTGTATGCACACACAAAGAGAAAGTAAATAAAACACAGTTAAAAATTCTACCCAGACCTGATCATGTGTGTATGTGCTTACACAGAAAATAAATAAAATGCATTAGGAAAATCCTAAGTGTAGTCATTAGAACCATTTTCTAAAGGTCTGAGAAATAAGTGCCTCGGAAACCACTCTACTTTGTTTTCGACTGTATACGTCCAGAATTCCATTGTACTTGCCGTCAGGAAAACTGGAAAAAGTCAAAATTAATATGTAACATTAGAAACAAATAGAATAAAAGAGGTGGCTGGGCCCGAGCACTGACTCAGGAGTTGAGAACACTTGTGTTTTCAGAGGCCCCCAGCTCTGTTCTCAGTACCCATGTTTATCTCCCAACAGCCCGTTACCCCAGTCCAGGGCATCTGACACTGCCATCTGGGTATCTCACACACTCTACAAAGACCCATACATACACTCTGAAATCATGCTTTTGAAAGCTGGTTAAGGCCATAAAAACAAATACTCCCCTCACATACACAGGTACACATAGCCCTCAGACCATAAAAGAGATTGTCGGAGCTGGGTGCTGTGGAGCTCTCTAATCCATCTGATGCCCATGCCTGGGAGGTGGAGGCAGAAGGATTTAGCAGGAGTGAAGGTCGTCTTTGACTACGTAGCTGATTTGAGGCCTGAGAGACTGCTAGCACAGAGGGCCCCACCACAGAGTTCTGTCTCCAGCCATCATCATACTTTGTGTCTCACTGACTTGGCTGGGCTTATTGCCTGGTCCTGACCTTGCAATCCTGCCTCAGTCTCCTGCATAGCTGGGAATACAGGCCCACACCGTTGGGCCAGCTTTGCATACCTTTTCTGTTTAAGTTCAGTAACTAGAATGACCTTTGCTGTCCATCTTTGGATCCAAATGCCCAGAACACCCTCATGAGCTAGATGTGTGACCCTGACCAGGCCTTTCTTTACACCTTTGTTTACCGGTTGCAGTACTTACTCTATGAGGACTGGTACTTTCTTACCTGCCCACCGTGTTTTTCAGATTGTTTTGACCGTTTTCAGTTCAGCATAGAGCGTACATAGTCAAAAGAAAGCATTACATGTAGAAAGAAAATGACAAAGCCCACGGAATGAGAGCCATTCTCTAGGTTGTTACAGTTTCTTTCTCTGCTGGAAATCAATGACGTGGAAGTTCAGGTGGTTGCTTGAGACTCACTTTATGGCTGGAATGAGATGTGACGTCTTTGCAACACATGGAGCTTATGATGCTATTTCCACAACATATTTGGTGAAGCGGCCCTAATAAGGCCAAGGATTACCCTAACGCTTGAGTCTTCATCTATAAACATGCTGTGTAAATGTAAGAGCTTGAGAGTTGTTCTTTATCGTTCATTCTTCAAGCCCGCTGTGGCCCCTGCCCCAGACTTGTCTATCCTTAAACACAAAGAGGAGGAGAATGTATGGGATTCTGGTACCGACTGGGGGCACACCAGCTGCTTCCTTCATCTGTTTTAACGAGTCTGAAACGTATTTAAAATGGAAGTAAATTTCTCCAAAAATGATATCTCGTGCTTTGTTCATTTGAATTGCTTATGCCTAATCATATTTGTATCTCCAGCACACAATGGGGTGGGTGCCTGTGGGCTGCATGAGAAAAGGGAAATTTGCCTTTCATTTATTCTTGTTGGAATTTTAGTCAAGGTTTACAGTTACGTATAGGAGTAAACACCACTTAGCAGGAGTAAAACAGAAACATTTTAACTCACTCGAAACACTAAACCAAAGGAGGGCCCTGGTGAGGGCAGAAGCTGGCCAATCAGCAGGTGGATAACCGGGATAGCCAATGGCCAGCGGAGGGCTTAGCCTCCGCCCAACTGCGCTGAGCACCTGCCCCCCAACTCCGTCGCTAGCTGGGCGTAGGGTGAGAACCAGGTGAGCATCCTCGAGGCGGGCGCGAAGCGGGGACCGCACAGGCACGCTCGCACGGCTAGAGCGTGCTGTCGGATGAACGTCCTTTCCGGTCTGGGAAGGATTGGAACTTTGCAGACTCTGCGGTTCGCACGGTGGTGGAAGTTGGGGCAGAGTCGCCACACTGGAGTCCCTGGGACAGCCAGTTGCTTCAGCCCTGGGGACCACAGCCCAAGCGTAGGGAACGACTCCCGACACAGACGCTTGCAGGTTGGCTGTAGAACGAGCTCCCGGGCGTCCCAGACGCCCCCCCCCCCCCCAGGGGGAGTCTGTGGGTCCTGGAAACGGTTGCCATGGCTGAGGGACGCCAGTTCCCGTTTCTGGCAGCAGAGGGCGCCCAGCCGCCTCGGTGGGAGAAGCTGGGTTTTCCCGTTACTAGGGTTACCACGAACCGCTGCAGCTTGCACACAGGAGATATTACTAATGCGCTGATTAGGAAATATGGGAAGTGGATGTGGAGCAGGATGATGGAGAATAAATCAAATCCAGCCAAGACCAAGCATTAGAGACTAAGATTACAAAGAAGTATGGGGGAATTCTCTAGAGAATACATACCCTTTGGGAGTTGAGGATTAAAGTTGAGTTATATAATAGATATACAGGGTCACGTGGAGCTCAGTCTGGCTATGTTAGTTATGTAGCTGAGGGTGATCTTGAACTCCTGGCCCTCCCAAGTGGAACACACCCACTATGCCACTCCCAGCTAACATGCAGTAATATTTTTTTTCTTTTGATTTTTCGAGACAGGATTTCTCTTTGTAACACCGCTGGCTGTCTGGAACTAGCTCTATAGACCAGGCTGGCCTCGAAGTCACAGGGAGTTGCCTACCTCTGCCTCCTGAGAGCTGGGATTAAAGGTGTGTGCCACCACCACCTGGCTGAAAAGATGACATTTTTATTTGCCACAGGTTTAAGGATTCTATACACACACGAAAGAGAGAGAGAGAGAGAGAGAGAGAGAGAGAGAGAGAGAGAGAGAATAAAGATACTTCAGCAGAATTTGAAGAAACTCTTGACTGTTGGCTTTTTGTTGCACTAACTATTGCTACGGAAGTTTGTTGTTTATGCTGTCTGTGCTGGTTAGTTGTGGTTTTTGTTTGCTTGTTTGTTTTTGTCAACTTGGCACAGACTGGGGTCATCTACGAAGAGAGAATTGGAATTAAGGAAACACTTTCATCAGACTGGCGAGTCTCTGGGATATTTTCTTGATTAATGATTGACGTTGGAGGGCCTAACCCACTGTGGGTGATCCTGGGAGGTATAGGAAAGGTTGCTGAACTGGAGCCGTGGGAGCAAGCCAGTAAGCAGCCATCCTCCATGGCCCCTGCTCTAGTTCTGCCTCCAGGTCCCAACATGAGTTCCTGTCCTGAGTGAGGAATTGTAAGCTGTAAAGTGAAATAAATTCCTTTCCTTCCCAACTTGCTTCTGGCCATGGTGTTTGTCACAGCCAACAGGAAGCAAGCTGCTCTGGTTTTTATTCCCCCCACCCTCCTACATCTGTCAGTGTAAAGTTATTATGACAGACATATTTTGTAAATTTGAAAGTTTTTCAAATATTGAATGCCACTTATTTATTTATTTATTTATTTATTTATTTACTCTGAGACAGGGTCTCGCTGTGTGGCCTTGGCAGGCCTAGAACTCTTTTAAGACCATGCTAGCCTAGAACTCGTAGAGATCCACCTACTCCCAATGCTAGGATTAAAGGCACATGCCACCACACCTGGCCCTGCCTTATTTTTTTTTATTCTTTAGATTTTTAAGTTGAGAAAAGCACTGAAGAGTTTTTAAAAATAAACTACTATCTTATGAATGTAGATGTTGTGCCTGCATGTATGTCTGCGTCATACACAGGCCAGACGAGACCTCCGGGTCACCCAGAAGGAGTTGCTGTGAGCCTGGTGTAGGTGTTGGGAATCAAAGCCAGATCCTCTGCCCCTGGCCACTGGCCCAGCTCTCCAGCCCCAGAGTTAAAAATCTGTGCCTGTCACATGACAAGCTGTTAAAACACGTGACTTTGTTGCTGGAGGCTCTGTCGATTGTCTGTGCGGTAGGGGCCAAGGAGCTCTTGCTGTAAGTTCATGACAGCTTCATTTCATGTCAGGCACATAGTTCTAGTTCATCAAGAAAGTCTCCAGATTTAACTTTTTAAAATAAAGCGTAGTTGATGCACCAAAACCCACTCTGCCATTCTATTCCGGCCTTGTTTAAGGGGAAGACTGAGATGGCACCTGCCTGGGGAATAGCTGGACTCAGCTAAAGTTAACTGTTCCAGAGAGGGCTTCAAAACACCTCACCCCTTTTCCTCTAGGAGCACTCAGTGATCCCTGCTACCCTATTTGAGCTTATTATTATACATCAGTTTTCATATACTGTGTTTCAGCCATGACTGCTAAAGATTGCCCATCATTGTGGGGCTTTGGAACAACAAAGACATTTAAAATTCCTGTTGAGCATTTGGATTTCAAGTATATTGAAAAATGTTCAGATGTGAAACACCTGGAAAAAATTCTTTATGTGTTGAGGTAAGCATTTAAGAATTAATTTCGTGCTTCAACATGCAGCTTTAATTATGCTGTTGCTTTCTGTTGTGAAGTATTAGAGACTTTTCAAATATTGAGGTTAGTGCTGGGGTTCCATATTGGTTTGAGACTGTGGTTCTGGAGGGTTCTGGCCGCATGGGCCTACCACATGGGACATAGGCTGATTTGGATCCAAGGGGGTACTCTTCTTGTGTCCTTTCCGTTGTCCAAGAAGTAAAGCAGCGATAAGTACAGCTGCTGGGGAAGGCGTAAGAACACAGGGCTGCCTGATCACAGGGAAGGCAGGACTGAAACAGGAAGTTACCAGAGCCCCACGGTGCTGTTGTCAGCCTCATGCATGTCTCCCAGGTGTGGCTGCTAAAAATGCAGGGTTCAGGGCCTCATTCCCAGCCATTCTATGCCCGAAGCCTGAGAAGGAAAATGTGCTGGTAACAATGCAACTGGTTGTTGTGTGGGGTTCAGAATCGATGTCAAGAACCACCGCCCCCTGGGCTGCCAACCAAACCCTGTTTGAGTTTCCAGTGAGATTTGATTTGGGGAACATTGTGGATCATGAGCCTGCCCCCTGCCCCTTCTTCCCAGGACATAGTTGCAATGCTTGGCTCTTTACTAGTCCTTGCTTTTATTTTCTCTGACCCTCTTCCCTTCAAAAAACAGATTTATTTATTTTTATCTTGTATGTATGTCTGTACTGCATGTACGCCAACGCCCAAGGAGGTCAGAGAGACATGAGAACTTCACTAGCTTTCTAGGGAAGGAACTCTGTTTCTTCAGTGGTTCATTTTAGGGGTGTTTTGTCCAAGCCATTTCTCTACCATTTTTTCCTCATACATTACAAAAAAAAAAAAGTGACAAGGGCTGGGGATGTTTTAGATGCTTGTGTAGTATTCATGAGGCCCTGGGTTTGATTCTCATCAGGGGAATTTGGTGTCAAATGCTTGCAATTCCAGCACTAGGAATGTGAGCCCAGAAGGACTAGAAATTCACGGTTATCCTCAAACACAGTGAGTTAGAAATCAGCCTGGGCTATGTGAGACCCTGACTCAAACTGAGATTTTTTGTTGTTGTTGTTGTTTTAAACAGAAACTCCTTGGAAAGGAAGCCTATGTTATCTCTCAGCTTTTCTCTCGTAATGAATTTCCAATATGTTTTGAAATTGCTTTGTGCATAAAATGAACATATATGTTAGGTAGGATTCAACCTAAAATGTATTATTGGTCAGAAGAGGGTGGAGGGTATCAGCTAAACTGGACCGGATGTGTCGGAAGTTGTACGACGCCGTGGAGGAGTCAAACTCGGGTCCTCTGGAAGAGCAGCCAGAGCTCTTAACTGCCAAACCATCTCTCCAGCCCCTGTATCAACCTTTGGTGCTTGTGATGTAGGCTGTTTCTGTGGCATCCTCACTACTGGGTACGCTGTCGATTCGCTGATATGAGGGCCAACGTCAGCCTTGCACAGTCATTGAGATCAAAAAAACCCGGGGGTCCCGGGAAACCCAGTTTGCCAGCCAGCAGTCTAGAGGAACTCTAAATAAGGTGCTAATCTAAGATTCTAACTGCTTTCTAAGGTCCGGTGAAGAAGGCTATTACCCTGAACTCATGGAATTTTGTGAGAAGCGCCTCACCGGCTTGGCTCCCAGGAGTCGAGCTCTGAGGAAAGATAAGCCTGCAGCAACAGCGGCCAGCTTCACAGCCGAGGAATGGGAAAGAATTGACAGTGATATAAAGGTAGAGTGACGACCGGTTCTGGGCAGTGTGTGTATCCCTGAAATCCTAGCCTTCTTGCTGGTCAGTGAACGGCTTTTAGAAGAGACTACTTAGAAAGTAGTGGCAACTTAACTCTAGTCAAACATTGTGAGTTTGTGTGTGTGAATTTAATCTAAATTTCTGTATCAGGTCCAACTACCATCCAGTCACCATCCATATCTTTTATTTTTTTTTTTAAGACTTACTTATTTATTATGTATAGTATACCTGCAGGTCAGAAGAGGGCACCAGATCTCTTTGTAGGTGGTTGTGAGCCACCATGTGGTTGCTGGGAATTGAATTTAGGACATCCGGAAGAGCAGTCAGTGCTTTTAACCTCTGAGCCATCTCTCCTGCCCCTCCATATCTTTATACAAAGATACTTGGGGCTGGGAGTGGTGCCGCCACCTGTAATCCTGGCACTTGGGAGGCGGAGGACCAGGAAGAGCTCAACCCTGGTCACGTAGTGAGCTGGAAGTCGATCTTGACTGCACAAGATTGTCACAAACAACAAAAGCAGGGGAAAAAAAACTTGATGGTTGACTGTGATTTTTGTTGTGGGTGGTGGTGGTGAATTTTTTTACTTTCTTGACTTCCCCTGAATAAATTATAAGGATTCACATTATCTGAGCAAAGAATTTAAACATGCTTTTGTTTCAGGCGTTCTTGAGCGTGAGTCCCGTGTCTGGGTTGAGGGTAGCTCTGAGCTCCTAATCTTGCAGCTTCTGCTTTGTAAGAGCAGGGACCACAGGCTCCATTACCACACCAGGTTCCCGTTGTCTTGGTGGTAGTGTTTCTGTGGTAAACGTTGAAATCAGGTGTGGACAGTCCTTGGTTCTGCTGTCTTAGGTTTACCATGGTCGTGATGAAGCACCACAGCCAAATCAACCCAGGGAGGAAAGGGTTGTTTGGCTTACACTTCCATATCACAGTTCATCATCGAAGGATTCAGGACAGGAACCTGAGGCAGGAGCTAAGTACAGGCCTTGAAGGGAGCTGCTTGCTGGCTTGGTCCTTATGGCCTTTTCAGCCTCCTTTCTTACCCAGCTGGAGTGACCCTCACCCACCCATCACTAATTAAGAAAATGCTCTACCGTCCTGCCTAGAGCCCAATCTTCTGGAGCCACTTTGTAAACTGAGAGTCCCTCCTCTCAGGTGTCTCTAGCTTGTATCCAGTTGATGTAATACTAGCCAGCACACCTGTTCTTTTCCTTAGCCGTTTGACTTCATTTAGGTCCTTTGCTTTTGTTTCTATACAATAAGTGTGCTTCTGTTTGGATTGAACCCCTGGATCTTTTTATTATGGGTGTTACATTGTAGCCCAGGCTGGCCTCAGTTCGGAGTCTCCAGTGCTGGGATTGTAGGCTGCCAAGCTTGCTTCTGAAATCAGTTTCGGAAGAACTAACATGAATTAACATCTTGTTTTGTTCCGTTTTCCTCTTGAGGCCCTGTCTTTATGTTTCTCTGGCTGGCTTATAACGCACTATGTTGACCAGACTGACTTGGAACTCCTGGAGATCCACCTGGGATGAAAGGCATGCTCCCCCACAGATGTCTTATGAACTAGATCTTAACAATATTGAGGCTTTCGTTCATGAACATTGTGTACTGTTCCATTCATTAAGCTCTGCAGCTCCCTTAGAGATGAAATGAGCCTCTCATCATTAAGTATAATGTTAGCTTTAGATTTTATGTAGGTACCCTTTGTAATACTAGGGAGTTACCTCTGTCCCTTGGTTGGTTTTTGTTGTTTGTTTGTTTGATTTGTTTTGAGATAAGATCTTTCTATGTAGCTTTGACTGTCCTGGGACTTTCTATGTAGACCAGGTTGGCCTTGAACTCAAAGATTCACCTGCCTCTGCTTTCTGAGTCCTGGGATTAGAGGTGTGTGCCACCACCCTTTTCCTGATCCTTGTTCAATAAGAATTTCTTTCATGAGTGTGTTTTAAATTTTATAAAATAAGACTTTTTTCAGCATTTATTGAGCTGATAATATAGTTTTATTTGTAGTCTCTTAATATTATTTAATAATATATGTAGACATCCCATACATAGAAGTATGTATGCATGTGCGTGTGTGTGCATGCAAGTATGCGTGTGTGTGTGCATGCATGGCACACTGACACTAGGGATTGAACCTAGGGGCCTCTCTTTTTCTTAGTATAAGATTTACTGGGCTGGAGAAATGGCTCAGTGATTAAGATCACTGACTGTTCTTTCTGAGGACCCACATGGTAGCTCACAACTGTCTGTAACTATAAGATTTGATATCCTCACAGAGACATACATTCAGGCAAAACACCAAGACACATAAAATAAAAATAAATTATTGAAAAAAAAGATTTACCACTGAGGTGCATCCACAGCCCAGATAGTCTTTAATTTTATACAATAGTGTCTTAACATTTTTTCAATATATATTTTTTCATTTAAATTCATTCCTATTTCATATTTCTTTATTATTCATCTCAAGTCACCTCATTATGAAATTTGTCATAAGATAAAAATAACATAAAATTCATCATCTTAACTTTGTTTTAGATGCTTGAGATAAAATCCAAACTTTATACACTCTTAAGAAGCAAGGAGCCAGATTGCAGCCATTTTAGCCATTTTGACATTGTTGTCAACAGTTCAGTAGTGTTGAGTACATTCTGAGTATAGTCACATTCTTGTTCACCCACTCTCCAGAACTTTTTCATGGTGCAAAAAGAAATTCTTTGCTTATTAAACAAAAGGTCTCTATTTCCCAGGTTTCCCGCCACTATCAATTGCTTTCTATTCCTGTTTTTGGCTACTCAAGATAGTTCATGTTGGTGGAATTTCATTTGCTTATTTATTTTGTGTGTGCACACATGAGGTGTAACCCACGTATGTAGGTTCCATGCACCTGTGTATGTCCTCAGAGGCCAGAGGAGGGCATTGAGTATCCTACACTGTCATGCTCTGCCTTGTTCCTCTGAGGGAAGATCTCTCCCTGAACCTGGAGTTTGTGTGGTTTTTGCTTTTGCTAGCCCCCATGACATTTCTGTTTCCACTGCCAGCATTGCTAGGGCTACAGGTGTCCATGAGATCACTCCTGGCTCTTTTGTGAGTCTAAACTCATGCCTCTTGGTTGTGTGTCAAATGTTCCTAGCCATGGAGTCATCTTTCCAATACTAGAATTTAAATTATATATGAGTTTATAATTATCAAATTGATCTTTAAAGTTTAACTTTATGCCTTGTGATCTTGTTGAATTTATAAATTAGTTCTGGGCCTTTTTGTAGATGCATTGGATTTCATTTTGCATTTTTATGTATATGAACTTCTAGTTGCTACTTTTCTAGTTGAGTCCAGTCTGGCTGCTATTTGTTTGTTTGTTTGTTTATATTTGCCTTATTTTGAAATTACATTTATTTGTGTGTGTGTGTGTGTGTGTGTATGTGTGTGTGTGTGTGTGTGTGTGTGTGTGTGAAATTGAGGTGGCTCCCTTACAGTTTCAGAGGTTTATTATGCTGTTATCATGACAGCATGCAGGACCTGAAAGAGTAGCTGAAAGTCCTATAACTTGCAGGCAACAGGAAGTCAACTGAAACACTCGGTTATATCCTGAACATAGGCTACCTCAAAGCCCGCCTCCATGGTGACACACCTAAACAAGGCTATGCCCACTCTAACAAAGCCACACCTCCTATTAGTATCGTTCCCTATGAGACTGTGGGGGCCAGTTACATTCAAACTACCACACACCACATGTCCTGAAGTTGAACTCAAGTTGTTACGCCTCAGCTGCAAGCACCCTTAACAGCTGAGCCATCTAGTGCCAGCCCCCAAATATTCTTAATGAGACTTAACTACACACTGAAAATAGTTAATGAAATAAATTTTGTGTTATGGGTATATATAACAATCAAAAAGAAAAAGGAAGGATATTCCAGAGAGAATAACATGGGAAGTGAACGGAAAGAGCTCTTCACAGTCCTTCCTAGTGCATGGTCAGTGACCTCACACTCTACAGTTGCCTTCTGCTCCATCCTTCTCAGAGTTGGGTATCAGAAATCAAGAGAGAGGAAAATGCAAGGCTCTTTCATGACCCCGAAGCACATCCAGGAGTGGAAGATCATTTGCCTCCAGTTCGTGGCTCAGACAGCTGCCCTCATAGTAGCAAGGTAGGACTTTCTGGTATTGGGAGCATTGACTGGGACAAGGGTGGTGACTGTGACTTACAGGGATATATATCTCCTGTCGACCAGGGTAAACCACTGTGATGTAAGTGTGTAGGGTTTTTCTTTCTGGTAACTCCTGATTACTCCTCTTCTCCTCCTTTCTTTTCCTTTCACTCCTCTCTTTCCCTTTCTTTCTTTTTTTTTTTTTTGGTGTGATACTAGAGTTTACTTGGGGCCTCACACTTAACAAGGCCTGTGCCACTGAGTTATGACTATATACCACTTTTACTTTTTATTTTAAGACAGTGTCTCCTTCTAAGATAGCCTTGAACCTGTGACTCTTCCTTCTATCTTCCCAAATAGCAGGGATTACAGGCCTGTTCTATCAGGCCTGTCTGCTTTTCTATGTAAACTTAGATCTGATCACTGGATGATGGAAATGAAGCAACCTTTTTTGAAGGCTTGCATTTTGAGGTCAACATCTTTCATCTTTTCCTTTTGCTACTCTGGCCAATTTTTAAGAGCATGAAAGATATTGCTCAGTGTTTCCAACTTCTGGGGACAATTCTGCCTATGGCAGAGGCACAAAGGCTATGTCACTGTCTAAGTCAGCTGACGGCTGTGTGAAGTGGCACACAATGATCTAAGTGTGTAGAGATGGCCCTCTCTTCCTTCGTGCACTTGATCATCTTGCTATTTCTGACAGAATGACTACCCAAGTCTTTCCATTTTGTATTCTTGTTATTCTTGTATTTATGTTGTTGTTTATGTATTTTTATGTACACAAGTGCTCTGTCTTCATGCCCACCAGCAGAGGGCATCAAATCCCATTAGAGATGGTTGTGAGTCCCCATGCAGGCGCTGGGAACTGAACATGGGTCCTCAGCAGGAGCAGCCAGTGTTCTTATCTGTTGTTCCAGGTCTAGTACTCAGTGTTTGTCTCTGCAGCTCTTTCTAACAACTAAGTTGTGGCACTTGTATTGGTTTTCTAACAAACTGGTTGGCTTAAAACAAGAGGAAAGAGCTTTATAGTTCTAGAGGCTGGAAGTCTATGGCCAGGGCATTGGCAAGGCCATGCTCCTAAAACCTAGAAGGGAAGATTCCTCCTTGTTTTTCCAGCTGCTAGTATTGCTGGCCATCCTCGGCCATGACAGCTGACCCTAGTGTCTGCTTTCACTGTAACATGAGGGCTGGCTTGTTGGGGTTTCCGTCCCGTCCGGTACCCCAACAGCCG